GGTTGGGGACAGGTTTGGGGACAGGGACAGGACAGGTTTAGGGACAGGGTCGGGGACAGGATGGGGACAGGTTTAGGGACAGGATGGGGACAGGGACAGGACAGGTTTAGGGACAGGGACAGGACAGGTTTAGGGACAGGATGGGGACAGGGACAGGACAGGTTTAGGGACAGGGACAGGACAGGTTTAGGGACAGGATGGGGACAGGGTCGGGGACAGCCCAGCGCAGGCCCCGTCCCCCTGCGGCGCCGCCGCCGCCCGCCAGGTGGCGACCAAGTGTCGCGGCGGGGGGGGGCAGTGACGGGGCGCGGCCAGCAGGGGGCGGGGGGAGGCGGGAACAATGGGGACAATGGGGGGCACTGGGAGGACAACGGGGGCACTGGGAGGACAATGGGCAATGGGGGAGACAATAGGGAGTGTGGGGACATGGAACGGGGACAATGGAGGGACAATAAGGGGGACAGTGCAGGGACACTGTGGGGCGAATGGGGATAATGGGGACGATGGAGACAATAGGGGGGCAGTGGGGGGCAATGGGGGGGTATGGGGGAACAATAGGGGAGCCCCGGGGGGGCCGTGTCCCCGGCTGTGTCCCCAGGGCCGCTGCTGAGGAGCCCCGCTGTGCGCGGGGGACGGTGACACGGTGACACGGTGACACTGACGGTGACAGTGACGGTGACAGTGATGGTGACAGTGACGGTGACAGTCCCGCTGGGGGGACAGGGAGCAGCGAGGGGCCGGGATGCGACGGGATCATCGCCGGGAGCGCCCGGAGCGGAGACACGGAGAGCGTCGCCATCGGGATCCCAGCGGGATCCGCTCCGACGGAGTGGGGGCAGTGACCGCCTGGCTCCGGGGGAGGGACGGGGCAGGGGACACGGACGCGGCCACCATCCTGTCAGGCAGGCAGGATCCCGCTCGTGTTCCCGGCCAGCCTCGTTTTTTCCCCTTGGGAATAAGGAGGGTGTCCAGCTCTGAACGACCCCATCTGGCCCTGGGAATTGTGGCATCTCCCTAAGGAAACTGAGGCACAAACGGGGCTCCAGCCACGTCCTCCCTTTCTGCAGAGCCAAGGCTCCCAAATCCCGTCTGGGGAAACGTTCCCGTGACATTCCTGAGCCCGCTTTTCCCTTCCGCGAGCATCCAGAGGCCAGCAAAGCCTTCCCAACAACCCCGCGCGAAGCGGCCACTTCCCTTCCCGCAAAACCCGGCTTCCAACTCGGCTCTTCCCGTCTCTCACAGACCAAAAGGCACTTCCAGGACAGGCGTGCCCTCCCCTCCACTTTTTCTGGGGGAAAAAAGCGCGGATTTGTGCTCCTGCCGTGCCGGAGGCAGGGATAGGGCGGGAGCGGGGACACGGCTTGGTCTGCGTTTTCCCTCGCTGGCTCCGTGTTGTCCGAATGACTCCGGGGTCGTCGATCCGCGGGATGGGAGCCAGGCCGGGAGGGACAAGCGAAAATCAAACGGTCCGGCCGGGATGAGGTCACGGCTGGCGGGAGCCGAATCTTCCAGCTGCTAAAGGAACGACGCCGAATCCAAATAATAAAAAAGAGGGACAACGATAAAAATAACAACAACAAAAGCGGCCGCTCCGAGGGTGCCGCGGGAGGGCCTGGCCGCCTCCGGATCCCCGATCCGAGCGGAGCCGCCAAGAGCAACACGGGCGGCGGCGGCCAAGGCGGGAAGCGGCGCCCGGCCCGGCGGGATAATGGCGGGATAACGGTGGGATAGCGGCTCCGCTCCGGATGACAGAGGAGGGCATCAAAGGGGAGGCGGGCGGCGGGATGCGGGGACGGACAGCGGGATACGAGGAGGGATGACGGAATGCAAGCGGGGACAGTGGGATACGAGGGCAGACAGCGGGATATGAGGACTGGCTGCAGGATACAAGGAACGAGGGCAAGAAACGAGTGTCGACAGCGGGATATGGGGACACATAGCAGTAAATGAGGACGGACAATGGGATACGAGGACAGACAGTGGGATACGAGGACCAAGAGCAAGATATGAGTGTGGACAGTGGGATACGGGGACCGATACTGGGATACAGGGATGGATGTTGGGATACGAGGACGGACAGCGGGATATGGGGACGGACAGCGGGATACGAAGACCAAGAGCAAGATATGTGTGTACAGTGGGATATGGGAACAGATATTGGAATACAGGGATGGATGTTGGGATATGGGGACAGACAGCGGGATATGGGGATGGACAGCGGGATATGAGGACCAAGAACAAGATATGTGTGTGGACAGTGGGATACAAGGATAGATAGCGGGATACAGGGATGGATGTTGGGATATGAGGATGGCAGCAGGATACAGGGACAGACAGCAGGATATGGGGATGGACAGCCAGATATGAGGATCAAGAACAAGACGTGAGTGTGGACAATGGGATACATGGACAGATATTGGGACACAGGGATGGATGTCGGGATATGAGGACGGACAATGGGATATGAGGACCAAGAGCAAGATATGTGTGTGGACAGTGGGATACCAGGATAGATAGCGGGATACAGGGATGGATGCTGGGATGCGGGCAGGGGCAGTGCATCCTGCAGAGCAGCCAAGCCAATTCCCGCGGCCTTTGGCGTGAGGAGCGGGATCCGACTGTGGAAAAGGGGGGAGGAAAAGGCAATGAAAGCGCACTAATGGACACTCATGAAGGGCGTCGCTGCCCCCAAAATGGCGCCGCCGCCGGGC